CCTCTGAGCATAGCATCTAATGTATGTGGCTTGCTTCGAGTATTCTCCCATGCCACTACAAATGGTAGTGGGACCACTGGAGCTTTGGAACAGGTATCGATCGTCTCATTTGTGTAATCACTCGATTAATGCTACAGGTTATAAGTCGACTAGTGCAAAGCATTATTCGAGATGTTAGCCTCAGGGTCTGGGATGCGGACCTCTTGCCTTTAGCGCAAAGAGAGTCATGGAATTTGCTGGAGTCATCTGATGTACGCTACTAGTATGTAGTTGTATACGGCAGCAGTGGCTTTCAGCCTCTGATACCTTCCCCTAGGAGGCTTAGAGGGTCAATAACAGGGGGAGTTGAGGGCCTCGAGGCACTGTCCAAGCCGTCTGTCGAAGCTGCCATCTATGACCCAGACCTTGGTGGGTAGGTCTCGTCAGTCATGCCTACGATCCCGACCATGAATGTTGCTCAGGGTGTCATCTATGGTGTCCCCGAGATGGCCTTTGCTTACACAAGCTACGGCAAATCGGATGGGGGAACTGCTACAACTAGGTGTTGTCCATCCCTCGGTGAGCGATGCTCGATCTGTCAATTCCTCACCGCTTTACTGTACAGGTCCACTTTGATATCATCATAGCCCTAGCCCAGATTCTCGAGCTATACATCCATACGGTGATCATACCCATGCCCTTGGTACGAGTATTGCAATAGGTTGTCAGATCCTTGGCCTGTTCGTAGTACGCCATCCAACATTTGATGACGTCGTCAATGGTGGTCACCATAGCAGGGGTGATATGAAGGATAGGCATGCCATTTACGAGGGTCATGATAAGCACATAGCCAACGCCCATTACCGTACCCTGTCTCTCTGCTTACCCTCCCTACTCTTCCAGAGAAGGTACACTCAGTCGACAATGTTTCAAGTTGCGCCAACTGGTATCAGCAAGTGGACGACGATACGAGCGCTTGCTCCTTGCAGGGGTCCCTCCTTTGCAGAAGTTGACGGTGTCTACTTCATTGTAAGTCTATCTGTATTGTATACTATAAGTTGGGGCTAGGTTTGGGCTGAAGGAAAGATGCTCAGCCATCAAGAGCTGTGATGGTCTTCTTGCAGCATTACGGCATCACTTGGAGGATTCTGAGGTCGTTGAGGAAATGCAAGAGAGGTAGGATTTGATTATAGCCTTAACACTTTCATCAGTGGTAGCCAGATACGTTGCAGAATTCCTCTCCACATGTAGTGTGATGGTATGTGAGCTAAGACTGGTGATCCTCGATGACTGTGCAGCTAGCATTGTCAACAAGTCATTGGCTGCCTGGACCCAGCATGCATTGCGCAATTTCGGCAATACTACTACTCCTAGTAATGTACAGTCACCATCTGATGATGAGAGGAGGGCCAGTAGGGTTGATACGAAGAACAGTGAAGCGGATACTTTGTTGTCAGGGGTGAGTTAATAAGAGCCATGTGCGTATAGTACTGATATTCAGTTGGATGCTGCCTTGGCTGATGCCCGTAGAGGGGAGGTAGACCCTTGTATGGTATACCTATTAGCAGTATGCATGTACAGACGTGTAGCTCAACAAGCAGGAGAGATCATTGGCTTGGTCCGTCCCATGGACCCTACAACT